TCCAGGCTTTTTCTTTCTGAGAAAGCCCAACACACACAGAGCTTTTTCTAGAACTCGGAGAACACAGAGAAATTGCAGTCAGTGGCAATAGGAATATCCATACAGCATATCACATTGCTTTCCTTTTTAGCCTACCTGTAGAGGACAGATGCAGGAACAAGCTACAGCTGTGAGATTTTTGAGGCTGAAAGCTTGAAGTGAGCAGGGCACAGGCCCCTGGGTTCAGGCTGCTGGCGCTTAGCCTGCTACTCAGCAAGGTGAGAGGCTTTGGCACCATCTTCTGGCACCTGCTGGCCCCCCTCTGCTGAGATTTCTTACAGAGGAACCAGCTCTTATTCCTGAACAACGTGATTTCCCATTAAAAAAAAAAAAAAAAAAAAAAGCAAGAGTTAGACAGCTGCAGTGAAGCAAGTATTGTGAATCCTTATGCTGTTTATACTCAAGCAGATGAGTAAAGGTCGTTTGTTGGTGTAACAACTGTAATCTGTTAAGAACATTAGAGCAACAGGCAAAATATGAAAACTCAACTAATAACAGGATGTTGCTACTTCATAGAAATTTTTCACAAGGCAGAACTTCCTTCTTTACGTGATCTGCTTTTCCAAATAGCTTTAAACAATACATGTCTTAATATTATTTCCAGGATAGGCTGCCAAGAATGCAAAGCATTCAAAGCATTGTTTTCTAGAGAGAGAGTATTTGTATTTTGAAATAGAGGGGATTTCTTATCTCTTTAATACATCCTGCACTTGCACCATCTCTGCATGATTAATAATACCATCAGCTCTGCAGAGTTGTGAGAGCGTTCAGCGTGTGAAAGGGAACATAACTGAAACAGTACAAGTAACAGATGAGTTCGGTATCAGAGAAAAAGAGACCTAGTAACTGAACATCTTGTATCAAGGTACCAGCTTCTGCTCCAGACATGCAGCTGGCTCATTTGGTATCATTGGGTAAGCTGCTTACCTTCTACATCACTGATACCCAATATGAAAGTCATGGCCTAGCATCATCAGGATCCCAAAAGTACTCTCTGCCTTCCAAGTTTCCCCACTAATTTTTTATTAGGAAGTTAGCCAGAAATCTTGAAAATTAGCTTGCAAAGTAGAGCAGTCAAAACTCGAAGTGGATTCTCCACTTTTCCCTAAAGGAGACCCAGCAGTACATAAGGCACCTAGGACAGAGAATAGAAATGTTGAGCTAAAGAAAAGCTGATGTTAAAGAGCAAGGCTAAGACAGTCAAAACAGATCTTTGCTCTAAGCTGCTGGCTCTTGAAACACAGACATAAATCAGAGGGAACTCTTCTGCCAAGTCAAACGGCTGGGGAATAGGCACATAGTATGATCTGCAAGATCTGGCATTATACAGAATCATGGAACAGCAAATGAAAGAATGCAAAGAGAACCCTACAGTCAGAGAGGTATTCTTACCCCAAACCTTGATCTCCATTTGCATGCTGACCAATTGTGATGAGTTGCAGATTTCTCAAACACCATGTTAAAAATTTGTGCTATTGAAAAGAAATATTTATTTAGTTTATTTCTGAGCCTTTAAGGGTTTTCTCATCTCATTTTTCAACATGAGAGCTATGAATGGAATACCTAAAAAAAATCTTGAGATATGACCAAGCAGGCCAGTTCAGCACCAGCAGAAAAGTTTCCTAACCTTTAACACATAAGAAAACAACACACAAAAGATTTTTGAGAATCAGTCTATTGTAATCATACACAAATCAGAACATTTGTAAAACAGACTAATCAAAAGATTTAAAATAGCAAATTTTTCAAGCAAATTTCCATGAACCAACGTTTCACCTACTGTAACAGAAATTTTATGAGATTAGGTATGTTCAGCAAACCAAAAAAATGAGTTAGTTGCTAAGGGAAGAGAAAAAGAGGTTGAAAGAGTAAAGAGTTTTCTTAATTGGAATCTGAAAAAAGAAGTTTCCTAAAGATACATTAAAAGAGAAATGAACAAATTTGACCAATTTAAGCATAGGAAAGATATTAATTTACAGATATAGACTGCAATAGAATCAATCAGGTGAAATTGTTTTAATTAATCTTAGGAAAAATGTTAAAAATTGCAAACCTCTCATAAAGTAAAATTTTTTTAAGATCTTTAGATAAAAAACATTGTAGGCACATTATATCACAGAGCTAAGTTACAAAACATCGTGTAAAGTACAAACACAACAAAATGCAAACTTTATCTCTTACCTTACGAAAACAATACAGAGCATTTGCAATAGCAATTTATAGTTCCTCAGTAAAATCAGGAGGAAGAGTCCTCCCCAGTCTGTGATATTGCCTTGCACAAGAACAGAAAAGCAGTCTCCTCTTCTCCTTCGTTTGTTTTTAGGGTTTTGAGGTTTTGTGGGTCATGATTTCAACTCCCTGCACTCACAAGAGCTACAGATGGTCCTGCTATCACCGCTTCCCACCTATAAAGCCAATGAGGGTTTCATTATAGCTGACCAAGAAAAATAAAATAGCAAGAAACAATATCCTTTTCTTCCTGCTCCTATGAGTAGAACTAGCAGCAGAGGTTTCTGGCAGAGCCGTTAGTGCCCACGTCTGAGGCTGTGCCTTATCAAAGCTCCGAGATGCCACCACTGCAGCCTGCCGGCATCCAGGATTCTGCCTCCAGCTGAGCTCCCAATACTCCGGCACTGTCTGACTATACTGGTCCCAGCCAAGAGCAAGATGAAAATTCCATTTTCTTCAGCTTTTCTTAAGTAACAAGACAGAGTTGAGAGCAAATCTTCAACAACAGCCTGTCAATGAAGCTCTACCTGCCTATTCCAAAAGTCTCGGTTTGGGAATTACTCAGTCACCTCTCATTTGGAGAGAAAAATCCAAGGCAGGAGAGTGCACAAAGAAGGCACTAAGAGGAACTACCCAGAAGAGCAACCACGCAGTAACGTCTCCCCATCCCTCACGAAGCTGCTACACATTGCCAGCTACAGTACAGGCCCAGATCTGGGGACCAAGGACATGCCACAGGAGGGACAGCTGGGGAGCTGCATGCCCTCTGCTCAGAAATGCTCAGAAAAGGCAGAAATGAACCCTTTTCCACTCAGCTGCTTTTTGAAAGCTAACAGGGAAATGAAGTGGCATAATTTGCTTTTCTCAAGGAGTTTTCACTCCCTTCTCTTCAGCACCTCTCCAGATGAAGTTAGTTGGAGAGGTGTGACCCATGCCTCTCCTTCCCACCTGCCTGCACAGTGGGGAAAGGAGAGGAGCCCAGACATCCCGGCCCTGCACATTTGCAGGCACAACACCCAAACAGAGGCAAATTTGGCAAGACAAGCTGTGGTCCCAGCTGCATTGAGCATTTGCATGAGGATCTCTAGCTGGGTTTTCATGGTTTCCCCTGTTTTTAGACTCAGGTCGCATCCTGTTTGGTTTGGTGACCTCTGGCACACACCGTAGGTGAATCCACCGAAACATGGGCTGTTCCAAAAAGGAGTGGGTTTGTTTTGGTTGTTATGTAACAGTTATCTGCAAAACATTTATTGTCTTTTCATCTCTCTGCAATCTCTATGGGTTATTTTGGCCACATACACCAGCTACATTAGACTTACAGGTACAATCACAGAGTCGCAATTCAGAGGAAAAATTATAGAAAACCCTGGCTCTCCAGGTTTTATTGCTTTTTAATGTGAATTTATAATGGGCATTCTGTGCTATTTGCTAGTTCTCCAGATTATATTCTCCATAATCTTTTTTTAATGTATTTGCTCCAGGAATTAATTCGGTTTGATCACTAAGAAGATCTCTGTTTTGCTTTTGTATAGACAGGCACACATTCAACACAGGAGACTACTTGTCAGTCTGAAGCAGAGTGAAAAGTCTGTACAGATACTGATATACACCTTTCCCATGAATGTAGTGCCAGAGTTGAATTATAGAATGGTTTGGGTTGGAAGGGACCTTAAAGATCACCTAGTTCCAAGCCCCCTGCCATTGGCAGGGACACCTTCTGCTAGACCAGATTGCTCAAAGCCCCATCCAGCCTGGACTTGAAGAAGTAGGTTGAAAGCAACCCACTTCTCACAGCATCTTGCAACTCTGCTTACAGCATAACACTGATGTATTTCTCCCACCATCACTCACTGCATCCTCTGTAGAGAGGGAGACAGACCCCAGAACATGAATTGCTCAGTTTGGCCCCCAAAACCACTTTTCACACATTCAAGAATAAGTAAGACCTTTTTAAAATCAATGGACTCTTCATAGCATTTATAGACAGCAGATTAGGCTCCCTATTCCAAAAGGGCTGCTGAATGCTTTAGGTAGTCATTACTATAAAAATATTCCACATCAGAAGCCACCATATGGCTGTCTAGAAACCTTCTGTTCCATCACAGTATTGTAGCCTCACATTTCATTGCTTTGTCTGCTTCCCAGTATGACATGCACTAAATCTAAGAAATTGCTTGCGTGTCTATTCACGTCTCCATTCAGCACTACGCCCGCTCTCCTCTACTTCCTCTTGCATCTAACTGGGCAGGATAAAGAGACGTGTTTATGGCATTAGGAAATATTTCTCCCATTGCACTACTTCGGATTTGCCTTCTGTTTGCTTGCTTGGCGTCAGGGAAGTTTTCTCAAGGCTGGTTTTGCACAAGTAGTTATGTTAAGCTCTGTTCATACTGCTTCAGGACAGAGATACAGTATTCAAGCACGAGCTTTGGAGTGAGAATTATCACACTAAGTAATGAGAGATTTTAACAGATGCCTTAAAGGTTCTAAAGCTAGAGAAACGTAAAAGATATACCATTTCAGTGTATATCTCCAACACGACCTGATGCCTTTTCTATTTCAAAACAGAGGATGCTAGCAAGTCGTCTGGTTTAGGAGCATCAGTTCATGGAAAGAGTGGGACCTTACCATACTTCTGTGTTGCTTTTTTCAATAAACACAGAACAACTGCAGGGGTAAAAGCAAACTGCTGCATCTGTTCATGAACGTAATTGCTGCGTTTTCTGTTCCAGCTCATCCTTGCCACATGGGAAGGAGGCTACAACTTGCAGTGCCAGAACCTCCACAGCGCCGGGGAGGCTGACCTCCGGGTGAGATGCAGCAGCAGCTCAGCTCCCAGCATCCGCAGCAGTCCTTCCCTCTGCGTCCTCGGTGCAACGCTTCTGTGCTCACAGCAGTTATAAGGATGTTACTGATGACATCTGTAACATGAGAGTTTTAATCAAGTTGCCTAACACCTGGTAGCAAACAAGAAGCGTTATCTTTCTGATTTGATATAGACCCATCCTTGCTGTAGAATGCATGACGGAGTATTTTGAAAGGCCATGTATCAAGATCTGGGTTCAAAACAGCATTGCCTATTAAAACAGAGAATATGGATCATTTAAGAAATTGGGAGAAAAATCAACCGTCTAAGATGTAACACTTGTTGGGCTCTAGCTGGAAACTGATTTAAACCCAATTCTAAACTTTGGAAAACTGCAGTGACATTGTGCTGGCTTGGCATATCTCTAGTTTCAACCCTTATTTCTGCATTACAGAGATTCCATGTATTAACTGTCTGTCATTCCCCACTTCAGGCTTGCTTTCCAGATAAAGTTAGAGCTCAAAGACAGAAAGATTGGTTAACTTATATCATTTCCCCCAATCCACCAAATTTGTCTGTGTTTTGGCAAGGAAAGAGTCAGTTAAATACCTTTTCCCCATCAACAAGATATTTCCCCCTTTCTGTTTTAACTAACTGTCTTTAACTGTCCTGGGACATACCCTGAGCACTGATAAAGTGTCTCAACTCTAGAGGAAGATCTAGTCTATGGTGTTGAGTGTCAAAGTTCAATTATTTAAAAAGAAGCAGCTGCCAGCAAAATCTGTTCAGTACCAAGAAGGTATTAAGTGGTCACACCATTGAAAAAAACAACCCACACAAAAACCCCACACAACTGTATCTTTGATGAAAAAAATAGAACAATTAGAAAACCCTCAAAGTTTGTATTTCTTAAATTATATTTAGATAATTATATATTTACACAATCACATAAAAATAATGCAGTTTTTCTAAACTGCCTTATTCAAAAGGGAAATAAAATTGAAGCAAGAGCTTGTGCTCCTCCTTCAAAAGGCTATTAATGCCTTTTGGGAAGTTGCATGCCTAGGGACTGATGAGGTACAGCAATATTTAAGCCCTTTTATGGACAGATATTGATCTCCTGCTCCTTTGTTCTTGCTTGTACAGGTAGCCAAGGTGCTGTGGTGGTATTATTTTTCCAAAGTAATTGAATTCACGGACACTATCTTCTTTGTACTGAGAAAGAAGAGCAGCCAGATCACCTTCCTTCACGTGTATCACCATGCCACTATGTTTAACATTTGGTGGTGTGTTCTGAACTGGATACCTTGTGGGCAAAGTAAGTCTGTGTTCGCTTCATCACCTGGGGTATAAGTCACCTGTTACTGGTGGAGAATCACATCACCATGCAAAGCAAGTATATCATTGGCAGCATCATTAACATTCATAGCCTTTCAGAACTGCTGAACACCTGCAGACCACAGTAAAATTAAAAGCATAGTTAAAAGTTCAGGCCAAAAATATCTGAGTGTTAGGCCCCAGATTTTCCACTTAGCTGCCACAACCTCTCATATTTACTTCTCTTCGAACCACTTTTAGACAGCATAACACTGCTGAGTGGTATGCAAGACCGATCACATGCAAGACCTACTCCAAAAGCAGATGTAGGAAGAAATCATGACCCTGGTAAAGTCAGTGTCAGTCACGACAAAGTCAATAGTATTTTTACAAGTTTGACTCCTGTATATATCAATCTGACATTCTGCTTTAGCAAGATACTTTACTTACATAATCACTAATTAAAATACCAGTTTGAGTTTATTTTGTTTTAAATGAGAATACATCTCATTCAAGTAGCAGAACTACTGGACAGCCAGAACTGATCGATATGGTCTTATGTTTCATATTGAAATAGCAGAAGTAGCACCATCCTTTGCCTTATTATATTTTGGGTTCGATATATTTTGCAACAGTGATCTCTAAATGTCTTGGCTCTTAGAAGAATACAGTAATTGCCATCATCTCCCCTCTTGAGGTGGAAAGATGTATGGTACCACAGGCTGGTCACTTGGCATTTGTACACTAAATCCAAAGAGCAGAGAACTACTTCAGGTGTCTCACAACATGCACACTTTTCCAGGGCTTCAGACAGCCAGAGGCTTCCTATGGGATTGTTATGAGAGTTGAGAAGACAATCAGTTTTCCTACTTTGAGCTATTAAAGGGAGTCACCTCAGTCCCCTGTAATATTTTGTAAAGCAACTTGTTGCAGGTGTTTTTCAGAACAAAGAGCAGAATTCGCATTTGTTGGCACTTATTATGGACAGCACAAAATCAAAGTAAATTGCTGTTATGGATAGAAGCAGCAATCAAGGATTTCATCGCAATCACGAGCTATTTCTAACAGAGGTGTAAACAAATTAGTAGGGATTTGTGCTTTCTATTTTGTCTGAACATATTCCCCATACTTTGCACTAGCTTTGCACTATGGTAATTAACAGAGTGGAAAAATTGGTAGCTAAGAAATTAATCAATAATTATTAAGTAATTAATCCGTTGAAAAATCAAAACAATTGGTGAGACCATCTTGTGGTTGTCAAGCACTGCCATCAAACACATGAGCATATAGCCATACAGTAGAAAGAGTAGTGCTGCTACTTCTCAATAGTCTATAAGGTACAGAGGGTAATTCATTTGGTCTAGAATTAGGAGTTACTAAGTGTAGCTCATTAGTGTGGCAAGGTATTATCAGGGGTGAAATTCTGGAAATCTGCATTTAGCAGAAGAGCCACTGGAAAAAAAAAAAAAAAAAAAAAAGAGAGCGCAGTGTTCAAACACAGCCACGCAAGGCTAGTTTAATTCAGAGTAAAGCCCTTACTACTGCATCAGGGAGCAGGAGAGCATGTGCCTCCCAGGGCCCTAAGCTGTGATACCAGCAGCACAGTCACCCACAGCGGTGTCTAAAGCCTGCAGCGATAATGGAGAGACTCACGCAAATAGCATTTGGGAGGGGAACAAAAGCAATGACCTGTAAACTACAGAATAGAAAAGTGGAACAAACAAAAAATACAGGATGAAAATACAAATATTCAGCATGAGAAAACCCCCCTAATAAGGATCACTCAGTTTGTCAGTTGTCCCTAAAACAGCATCTCTTCACTTCAAGAATGTCTTTAGCTAAGGATATGCACAAAGGGAAGACTTACCATGTGCAAGACGCATCACTAGCAATATCTTCTCTCACGTTTTAGCAGTTGGTATATAAAAATGTTTTCCTTGATGGATTTTTATAGGTTTCTTTGGACCCACTTTGAATAGCTTTATCCATGTGCTTATGTATTCCTATTATGGACTGTCAGTCATCCCTTCTATGCGCAAGTATCTCTGGTGGAAGAAATACCTCACTCAGGCACAATTGGTATGTATTTATTTTACTCTCAATTTAATGACCAGAAATCCTTCAAAATGCCAGAGAGGGCAAAATGATTGATAGATAACATTGTCATTTGCAGAATTAAGCCAGTTAGAATTCAAATATAATAAAGCTATCATACAGAATAAGTCACTAGTGCAGCCCCACGTAACTTAATAGAGGAAACAACGCTCAGAAATATTTTATACAACACGGTAGAAACTCTAGAGTCCATAAAATTCCATTATTTTTGATCTTTTGCATAGAAAATGGACACCACTTAATCACAGCAAATAGACTGATTAAAAAGTTATAAAAACTGACAGAGCCAGCTCCAGCTGGCTCCAAGATGGACCCACTCCTGCCCAAAGCTGAGCCCATCAGCAAATCTGAGGGCACCTCTGTGATATCGTATTTAATGAAGGGTAAAAAATGCTGCAGAACAGCTGAGAGAAAGGAGTGAGAAAATGTGAGAGAAACAGCCCTGCAGACACCCAGGTCAGAGCAGAAGGAGAGGAGGAGGGGCAGAGATTCCCTTGCAGCCCGTGGGGAAGACTATGGCGAGGCAGGCTGTCCCCCCACAGCCCATGGAAGACCACAGTGGGGCAGATATCCACCTGCAGCCCGTCAAGGACCCCACACTGCAGCAAGTGGACATGCCCTGAAGGAAGCTACAGCCCATGGAGGACCCCACACAGAAACAGGCTCCTGGCAGGACCCACGCAGGAGCAGATTTGCTGGCAGGACCTGCTGAGGACCCACACTGGAGCAGTCTGTTCCCGAAGGACTGCACCCCATAGAAAGGGCCCACACTGGAGCAGTTCAAGAACTGCAGCCCATGGGAAGGATCCATGCTGGAGAAGTTCATGCAGGACTGTTTCCCATGGAAGGGACCCCATGCTGGAGCAGAGAAAAAGCATGAGGAGGAAGGAGCAGCAGAGCCAAAGCAACATGTACTGACTGCAAACCCCATTCCCCATCCCCCTGCACTACTCAGGGGAGAAAGTAGAAAAGTCAGAAGTGAAGTTGAGCCTGGGAATAAACAGGGGCATAGCAGAAGGTAGTTTTAGTTTTGTTTTATTTCTCACTATGCTTCTCTGTTATTAATTGGCAAGAAGTTAAATTAATCTTCCTGAAGTCAAGTCTGGTTTGCCTGTAACGGTAATTAGTAAGTTTTACCAATTACCCTCCCTGCCCTTATCTCAACCCATGAGTTTTTTCATCTCATTTTCTCCCCCTACTCTATTGAAGAGAGGAATTAAGAGAGCAGCTGGGTGGGCACCTGGCAGCCAACCAAGCTTAACCCAGCACACCATGGTACAACTACAAAATGCAAAATTATGTAAACCAACTCTTCGACAAGACAGAAGTTGTCTGACTTCTAAAACTCTACTCCAGCAGTTGCTGTACACAAAGAGCTGAGCCACATCAAAACCTTCTATCAACAAGATACGAGGCTTGATATGAAATTAAGTTCCTTTCACTTTTTTTATCTTAGGGCCTGTTAATATTATTTGGGAGTTCAGATGTTTGCAGTAAGCTTAAAAATACCTGTGTAGAAATGTGTTTAGCAAATGCTGCTTCTCTGAGCTGAGACCATCCCTGCAGTTGAAAGAAGCTGCCCTGTTTGTAATGCACCCCAGTACACTGGATTGAGGGCATGCTCATTTTTGCTTCATTTGTCCCCATCTTAACTCTGTTAATGCAACTGCCAGCTTACCTGAACTTCTCCTCAGACCTAGGATTTCCATTTTCTGTTCAGACTTCTAAAGCTATTGCCTGGAGTCTTCAGAGTTTTCTCGAGTTTCTGCCTAGTAACAGAGCCAACACCCCCTGGCATGACACGGTCTGGAAGATAGAATCACCCCTAATTAAAAAAAAAAAAAAAAAAAAGCTTTCGTTTTGCCACCTAGGCCTATAAACTCAAATTTTTAGAAATCTCTGACCCCTTAGGGTTTTTTAAATTTCATAATAGCTCCATTAACTTAACCCTCACAGTACATTCACAGGTTCAGAAAGGATAGTTTTCAAGAGTGCTCAAAGAGCAGGACTAGGTGACATTGTTATATCTGATATAGCTAGCATCGACCCTTTCTCAGCAAATACTCATGCATGATCTTTCCTCCACAGATTCAGTTTCTGCTCACTATTGTGCATACACTTAGTGCAGCTGTGAAGCCATGTGGATTCCCATTTGGCTGCCTCATGTTCCAGTCCTCCTACATGGCCACACTGGTCATTCTCTTCATAAACTTCTACATTAAGGTAAGCAGTCTTCCAAGAGCTCTCTGACAAGAGGGGCTGGGGGGATAATTTTTTCAATAGCAGTCTTGATGAACTCACATGTAGAATAAGCATCAGTACTTAAAATACATTTGTATTAAAATATATATGTCAATTAAGAATGATAGATACAGTAATGTCTGCAAGAGGCAGTTATTCAGTAATGATGACCTCCCCTTGCAGCTCAGCTCTTCTGCACTTGCACAGCAAGTCAGGTACCACATTCAGAACTTATGAAGTCTGAATTTGCTCTGTTGGGCAACTTTTTGAGTCTTCCTCCCTCCTTGGAAAAAGGAAACAAGCAGCTCTGTCTTTGCATTTTTTATTTCAGCCTTTTTTAGTAAGGAGAGCTTCAGCCTGCCTGCATACATAGGGCTTTAGTGAAAAAGGCTTAAAGTCTCTTTTGACATCAAGAAGTATTAGAGTAATACTAGTAAGGTAATATCACCCACGGCAGTGAAAATAATACAGTTCCCTTAACGCAGTCTGAAACAAATATACACATCTGCATCAACAGCCACCAGACAGCTTCATTTTACAGTTAACCATAAGCAGTGTTTGGGGGGCACTAAATAAATCCAAGTATTTACTTTGGATTTTGCTTTTATAGACATACCGGAAAGCACCTTCAAGAACAGCTATAAAGGAAACTCCTATCACACCAGAAATCAAGAATGGTTTCCATAAGGACTACTTTGCTGCTGCCAATGGATTCCTGAACAATAAGAAAGCACAATAAGTATAGTATTTCCTGTGATTTTTTTCTAAAAAAAAAAAAAAAAAGAAAGAAGAAAAAAGACGGAATTACAAGCTTTAGCTTAAAACCTATTTGATTACATTTATCAGTTCTTTGTACCAGACACTTATTAATGTACTGCTATTTAGGTTTTAACCAAACGAGTAGAATTACTTGTCCTGTCGAAGATCACCATCGGAACAAAGGCGGCCAAGATCTTTCTCATATGAAAAAGCAAACCTTTCTGATCTCTAATGCTGACGACATAAAAACGCCTTATAAAACACTTGATAGATAAACCCATCAATGCCTTCAACAGGTTAGGACTCTGTTCAGACTAACGCAGTGAGCATGTTCTGTGCATGCAAGAGGTCTTGAGGCAAGGCTTCACAGTGCACCCAACACTTTCAGCTAAACTGTGGCCAAGGTCGGGAAAAGGAAAAGGGGGGGAGGAATTGAGAATCACACCTTTTCCAACACCATACCCCTCTGCTTCTTCCCAGCCGTTCCCCAAAGCACGCTCCCTCCCATAGACACCAGTGATATTTAGAATACATGGTATCACATGATGATACGGGGTTTTGAGCTCTAGTCAGAGCAAAACAAGTCACTTTGGATGTGCTAAATTAATAGGAGTTCTGAGTAAATAGATTTTGAAAGAGATAAGAGCTCAACAACTTAATTAAGATAAATCCTTTGAGTGTAAATGTGCACAAAGTTAATCCTATACAACCACTGCTAATTTGAAGCAAACTGACATGCCACATACTAATAGACTGGAAGACACAGAAAGTCTTAAAAGTGAATTCAGCAACGAGCAAAGCACATTATATAGGAATTTCTGTGCTAGGTGAGCCTTATTCAGACTGGTCTCTGACTGGAGAAACAGATGACACTGAGGCACAATCCTCTGTAGGGAAAGCAAGGAGATATTTGCTTGTCTGCAGCTGTAATGGTGCGTCTCTCAATAGCCAGTCACTATCTTCTCTGCTTCAGTTAGCTGCATTTACCTCCCATTTAAATGGTTAGAAAGGAAGAATACCCAAGGTTAGCTTTGGGGATCTGCCCTCGCCCTTTTCTCATTTAGCACCTTTCAAAATCTCTACTAAAAAGTGGACACAGACTTTTTTCTCTCCCTTTTTCACAATTAAATAGTTCTGGTCTCTTCCAGTCCAGCGGGTACAAATTCTCTCAACAAACCCACCTTTTGGAGTCGCCCCAGCCCAGCCAGTGCAGAGGGACCAAGCAGCCAGAGAGGGCCCACGTGGAGAGGAGGCTGTCCCAAATCCTGCTCCTCCAACTGTTCTCCATCTCCCCTCTAGATGATCTGTCATCAGGGGGTCTCGGAGGCTGCAGGTGCAAAGGCAGAAAGGTTTGTCCCAGAGAGCGGGGGGGTGCAGGGCAGCCAGCTTCACCAGCAGCAGCCGGAGAGACCGCAGCCACGAGGGCTCGTGGATAAGAAGGAAAGGGGCTGAGGACGTGGTACAGTACAGGGGAAGAACAGACAGGTTTGTCCAGCAAAAGCAAGAGGAGAAAATGGCGTGGAGAAGGGTGTTTCAAGCCAGAGTTCAGTCCGAATTTGTGCTTGAAAGTCCCATTGGATCCCATCTGTCTCCAGCCAGTTCCAGCTCTGTCACAATGTGGACAAAACTTTCTGCTCCAGCAGAAAACCGGAATCCCCAAAATGCTGCAGCACAAACAGTACATTTGAGCAGCCTGGCTGCTAAACTGCATCACCATGAACTGGGCAACCAAAATAACTGCAATATTCAAACACTTTTACACCACCACCACAGACATGCATCTAACTGGTGTGTATTCACATTTGCTCCCGCTTCATGAAGCTGGCCACAGTGAAAGGCAGTGTTTTGCTCTATTTAACATTCAATAAGGAGGGAAGGCAGCAACCGAAAAAAAAACCCAAACCCAAACCACCCTCAGTCACAAAGCCTGGATGCTCTGTGCATATATTAGTTCTCAGTGGCCCTTCCAGAACATTTGCTTTGCAGATCTTTCTGGTTGATACTGTAAAACTCACAAGTTATAAGAAATTAGTGGGTTTGACTGAGGGTGTTGCACATGGTCCTAAGGAAGAGCTTCAGAGCTCTGCAGACATCAGATTGATACTGGAAACCAGGGTAAAGGCAGAGGGAATCGGAAGAGCTGACAAGATATCACACAAGACAACTAGCTGAACCATGTATCTGAGGCAGGCAACAAAATGGTTGCTTGGCCCAGTGTGGATTTTAGGCCGAGTGGAGTCCATAACCTTTTGACGGCAAAGCATGCATTTGACTATCAAGGTGGACAGCGTCAGCGTGCTAAATGTTAAAGTTTAGTACAGCAACCAAACCCACAGATACTGTCTTTTGTTTTGTTGAAACCTCATTCAAAAGAAAAAGAAATAAAAAGAAATAAATAAATGCCTTACTTGAAACTCAAAGGGCTGGGGAAAAAAAAAAAAAAGAAGAAAAAAAAAAAAAGGAAAAAAACCAAGACAGTCTCACCTTGCAGATCCAACCAGGAAGGCTGGAATCAGGTATGTTTAAAATTCTTCAGATCTGTCTTAACATCTTCAAAATGCTGCAACTTTGAAGAAAGAGAAGCATTGACTTTTTAAACTGATTTTCCTTGTAATACATAACACTGTAAATAAACAAATTTTACTATCAGGCTGTCTCCACTCCTCTTTAAGGCATCAAATTGCTGGGAACTGGTTATTTGAAGCTACTTTTGTTCTCAGACTTTTTCAGAAAGTTGTTAGGGCATTCAGCTCAGACTGACAAACAACCTCCATAACTTTACATACCACCTTCACTGGTGTTGACGTAAAGCTCCCCTGTGGTTTTTGTACAACTGTTGGCTGTACTCTGTCCTCCTCATTGACTGGGCAGGTGGTATTTCTGCATATCATGCTCATATACATGCACAAACTAATTAGGTTGATAGGTAACGGTTTTCTACAGCACGGAAACACAGCATGTTTACGCTTCCTACTTAAGATACGTTTCTCTGGTAGACTGAACATGCCTATCCCTTCTAGCCAGTCCTGCTTCTTAACGGTGGTTCTACAGGCAAAACAGGCTCCCACCCTTAGCTCCTCTGGATTTTAGTTCAGACACATGAAGTAGATGTGAATACCTCATACTGAGCTTGCTTTTTCCACCAGAGAAAAAGCACCTTCAGCCCAAACTTCAGTCCAAACAGATTTGTTAAAATTATCCTGGCCCTGGTGCCTCCCTGTTCCCAGGCTCTCTTGCCTTGCAGACTTTGGCTGGTGAGATTGTTTTGATTCATCTATTATAAATGGGTAAAAAGAGCGGTTTCAGCTCTGATAGAGAAAAATTTCCAAATATTGCACAGGAAAACAACCATTGCATCCCACTCACTAGTTCAAGCAAGTTTGACTCCCAGTTTTTATTCATTTAATTTAATGCATTCTATGGTGCCCCACGCACAATACCAAAAACACCTCTAGGTTTTGCTGTACATGACAGCATGAGGGCACAGTGAAGCATAACTGGAGCATCACAGTTGAGACATGGTGGAGATACAACTTACCAAACATCAGCTCTCCACCCAAACTTTCCTACCTGGGGGAAGAGAGCCTGGTTTACCTGTTCTTTGCCAAGATGTGGAATCCTGTCAGTCAGTGCAGACTTCCTTACTGGCAGTGCAGCTTCTTGTGCTTGCTGTTTCTGCTATATATAAAAGCTTAAAAAAATCTCATTTGGGAGCTCTACCTGACAAAAATAAGCAGATAAATCAGCAGCCAACACAGCCTAGAAAGCAGCATGTGAATTTCTCGTGACTCCTGTGAAGACTTTGCATCTATGAGAGGCTTTTAATTGACACATATTTCCTGGAAAAAGGCAAAACCTAGGCTTGAATGATTATTTCAAACCAACAAAAAAGGGGAGTATGGTCCAGTTCAGCAGCTGAATTTCAGTTAGGGCAGTAAAAGGAAGCACTGAGATTATCCTCAATGTATGCAAAAATTTTAAGATTTTATCCTCATAAAGCAATCAAAAAAAATTTTGAGTTTGAGAAAACGCTTAACTATTTCTGAAAGATTAATTTCATTTCTGTTTGGAGCACTTTCAGTAAAATTATATGAATGGGATGAAGGACTAGGATCTCAACACCATAAAATGGAGGCAGGTGTTCCTTTTCTCTTTCCACCCAACCTACCAGGTTGCATTTACAGCCCTTGCTCAAGAATATGGAAAACAGACATTTAGTGCCCTGCGCTGGCCGAGACGACGAGAACCCACAGCTCCCCATTTCCAGGACAATCTTTTGGGGCTTACATTATTTGAGCCAGAAGAAGATTAAAGTGCTCTGTGGAAATGCAAATGGAGTTGTTTAACAGCTGTACCTGGGTAGCTTATAGACTAGTAGTTAGCCACTGTCCTGAAAGATGGGAGGTATGGGGTTTAGTTTGTTTCACTGGAGAATGAAAATCAGGTTTCTCTATGTGCCACATGAGTGAGCTAATCACTTGGACTGCAAGAAAAATAAAAGCATCATACAGCATCCTTCCCCTTCCTGAAGAGATTCCCACTGAAAAAGCATTTGTGGATTGAGCTGTTCAACCTCAACTTGCCAATAGTTTCCTGTCCATTAAAAGCAGAAACCACATGCAAAGGAATCCTTGACACCCAGCTCCAGCCACAAAGGGAAACCTGGAAAGCGTTAAGATACTGAAATGGAAAATGTTACAGCAGAGATGCTCCGTGGCTACCATGCTCACTCACAAATGGGCGGCGAGTCCATTGTTTTTACAGTGGTTGAACTGCAAGAGAAGCAATCTCAGACTTAGCTACAGCAGTTCTGTGTGCTGCTGTAAAGCCCTGTACTGGGTGTTACCATGCAAAGATGGTATCTAGCACCATGGGCAGAAAAAAGTTGGTATTACTCTTGGAAAGAGACAAGACCTGTAACAGCTGATGGTGGCAAAGAGCATCCCATCTAAACACGTAGGCTGAGTAGGGATTCTGGCAACGACATGTTCACAGCACACTTCAATCCACATTCACG